TACTGGAGTTAAAAACCTCAGAAACACTCCAAAAGGGAAATCACACACTTGCCTTCTATTTATGCGCGGGATCTCTGGTTGTTTTCTACTTTTCCCATATGGATTTCACTAACATGAAAACATCTTATCCTGTCCCCAGTATTTCCACATTGACAAAGGAAGGCTTCAGGCTGCCAAATGTGGAGGAGAGCCAACACGGTAACTAGATAGGAGTCCCAGTTAATTGTGTGATTATGAGGCAGGGCCTTCAGTGTGTCCTTGAGGACCTCCTTGCCCCATGATGCCCTCTAGTTACTTCGGCTAGAATCTACTTTCAGGAAATCTCTTGAGCCCATCTCTACCGGGTACTTATGGAGGATACCAGGGAGAGCGAGCTGCTTCCAGCACATTTGCACCACAGCTTTGTTCACTGAGGATGGAGAGACCCTCAGCACCAGCCTTTATTTATTACAGGGGAAAATCTGGCAAGTGGCTTCCGCGTACATGTCTGCTCTCAGAAATTCACATCAGCCCCACCCTGGCAGGGTGTGAAACTTGCTGCCCTTCAGGAGAGAAGATCTTGAGTTGAACTGGTATTTGAGGCCTAGCTACAAGCCCCTGAATAACATGTGAGGATCCCTGAGTTCAGGAAAACTGGTAAGGAATAAGTACCTGAGCTAGAAAATCACGGCAAACACTTTCTGCAGATGTCATAGCAGCTTTTTAGTCAGCCACAGTAGAAAAGTATACATCCTGTTTATGCACTTTGATGTGAAAAACGTATGCGAAGCAGTGCTGCTTTTGAAAATGCAAGGCTCCTGGTGCTCGGGTCTCAGTTCCCTGTCTGCCGTTGGTTATCTGTGTGACTTGGAGCCCACCACTGCTTCCTTGATCATTCTCACCTAATTCCTCAGGTTTAAGGTTTTAATTACAGTTTTGACCTGCGAGGAGGTGTTGCTACATTCCAGGGGAGACATGTTGATTGAGATGGACCTGGGCTGCTGCGTGGGGAGCTGGAGACAAACGCAGCTTTTTCAAGTTTCCCAGGCAGGGTGTGAGATTGCTGAAGCTTAACACCTTTTACATATTTTAAAACTATGTTTCTGCATATTCAGGCATTCAGACTTCTACATTTTCACACAGAATGATTCTTTTTATCAGTATAAATAGTCTTCTTTCCATAGCTGATGCTATTTGCTTTGAATTCTATTACGCTGATATTTTCTAAGTTTTCTCTTGGTTAATGAAATATTGTTAAATCTATTACATCTTTGTTTTCGATTTTTCTAGCTCTTTTTCTATGAACAGCAGTCTCCCCTCACCCATGCTTTGTTTTCTGTTGTTTTATTTGCCTGTACTCAGCTATGGGTAGTCTGAAAATGTTGAATAGACAATTACAGGAATAAACAATTCACAAGGTTTAAACTGCATGTCATTCTGAGTAGTTCATGAAATCTTTTGCTGAGCCACTCCAGCCCACTTGGGACACAAATCATCTATTTTGGTTCAGTATATGCACACTGCATATGTTATTCACTTAGTAGTCATTTTGGTTATAAATCGACTGTCACAGTGTCACAGTGATTATGTTCAAATAATCTTTATTTTATTTGTTAATGACCCCAGATCGCAGTAGTAGAGCTGGAAACCTGGATAGTAAAAAGCTTTCTTTTAGGTGAAAGTACAATATAATATCTTGAGAGAGAGGCCACATTTACACAATTTTACAACAGTACATTGTTATCACTGTTCTAGATTATTATTAACTTCTTACTATGCCTAGCTTATAAATTAAACTTTATCATAGGCATATACACAGAGGAAAAACAGTGTATATAAAGTTCAGTACTATTTGTAGCTTCAGGGTGCTCCCGGAGATCTTAGCTTGTGCCTCCTGCAGGAAAGGGGTAACTAGCACACATGTGTAGGAAGTATAGCTGAACTTAATTCTCCCACAATTTGATCGAGAAATTCAGCACATTGATATTTCTTGCAACTGATGATATAACTGGACTTGTTCCTAATTTACTTTATTGTTTCAATTTCCATCCCACCCTTAGTTCTCTAATTCTCTGCCCCTTTGCCATTTTTTCTTGTTCTTCCTTTTCTCTTTTTTTCCTTCCTTTCTTATTTGTTTTCTCGTTTATCCTATTGACCACATTTTTGTTGCTGTTCTAGCAGTCTAAAAGGTGTATATTGTATACTTATTCTTCTAGAAATTTCACTTAAATTTATAGCACAGAACTTAATTTATCTTACTATCTAGACACCAAAATTGTTCAGTATTTATATCAGCCTCTGATCTTACCTTTCCTGCACTGAGACAAGAAATTTAGCTCTTTCCAATGCTTTCTTTGTCTTCCAGTCTACCTGTCACCTTTCATGTTGATGTGGTTTTATGTGTCAACTTGACAGGAGCAAGGGACACCCAGAAAACTGGTAAAACTATGTCACAGCGTGTCTGTGAGGGTGTGGAATAGTGGACTAAGTAAAGCAGATGGCACGGGGATGCCCAGCAATACGGGTGGACAGCACCCAAGCTGCTGAGAGCCCGCACAGAGAATGAAGGTGCAGGAGACACACTTGGTTGCTGTTTGAGCAGGGACGTTCTTCTCATCCTGCCCTCCGACCCCAGCCCTCCAGGCTCCTCTGACCCTTTGGAGTTGGCCTAGGACAGACATCATCGATACCTTAGAACTTCGACTGAATCACACCACTGCTTTCTTGGTTCCGGCAGCTTGAAAGGGCAGATTATAAGAATTTTCATTCTCCGTAACTGTGTGAACCAGTTTCTAGAATGAACCTCCTCGTGTATACATGTGTCCTGTCCTTCTGCAAAACCTTAAATAAGATCACTATTTTCCAAGAGTCTTAGTTGCAGACTATTATTAATTTTATGTTAATAATTGTTTAGATCACTATAAAATGTACTTACTCATTTGCTCACCACTTGTCAATTTCTGATTTTGCCTTTTTTGGGAATACTTTTCATTTTTATGGAGTATATAGCTAATTAATTTAGACAATTGTGTGATAAGTTTTTCGAGTATTTGTAGCCTTGCCATTTGTTATCTTGCACTCTCACTTCAATATTAATTTGAATGGATATAAGATTCTAGAGTCAAATTTCCTTTTAAAATTCTGCAAATAATATCTTTACAGGATCTGTTCGTTTGTGATAACTTAAAATCAATGAATCATAAAAATATGATAAAGTTATTTGGAATTTATGAACAATTCTTCCAATTAACCCTTGGATCAAAGAAATAATCAAAACTGAAATTCTAAACTGAGACATAATATAAAGGACAACACTTCATACTAAAACTTACATTACACAGGTAAGTCAAAACGTAGAGGAAGCCATAAGGCCTAAGTATTTTAATTGTTAATAAAATAAAACTAGAAACAGAGAGGGCATTTGTTAGCCAAATTGAATTTGAGAAAAAAAGGCAAAAAAAAAAGCCTTTTTAAGTCCTTGTCTTCATTGCAGGTAGCACTTTTATTGTTAATCTTGACAGATAAAACTTCAAATTATTTGGAATTTATTTTGTTTGAAGACACCAGAATGGATCTAATTTCATTTAGAAAATATGAAATATTTTGAAATATATCAAAATATCTAGCAAGTTGACTCAATATTTGTTTCATAATCCATATGTTCTCCTCTAATATAAAGCTCCACTTTAATCATATAAGGTATTCTTAAATGAACTTTGTCTAGTTTTAGAATGTTTAGTACTGTTCCAATCATATGAATGTACGTTTCAGCATATTTCCTGCTGTTTCAATTTCTGTAGCCTTTGTCATGAGGATATCTTTCTTTTAAAACGATGTCATTGACTCTTTGTCACTTCTTTAATTTTTACATGATTTACATTTTTTTAAATGGAGAATTTGAATGGAATATAGATTAGATTAAAGAGAATTAAGATCTATATTAATCCCATCTATGAATAAGATGTTCATTGTCTTTTAAAAAATTTTAGACTTCTGCTTTTCATTTCAGCAGATAGAGTTTGGACATCATCATTCCCATCCTTGGTACTGGAAAAATCCTGAACAAACTAAAAATTAGGAACACCTATTATCAGAGAATTAAGTTTACAGGGTAATCCAATGTCCCAAAACTAGAGAGAAAGGAAATACAAAGCAGTTTAGTAAAACACAAGCTATTGGAACCAATAATTTAAAGTATAATAATTAGCTACTGGAAACTCAGGATAAACTAGCTTGAGAGCAAAAAACTTTCTCCCAGTTCACTGAAATTTTCATGAGCCATCTCCAGGAGCTACAGCAGATTCCCTCTCATAGTGGCTGTCTCTCTTCTCTGTTGGTGGCCCAGAAGCCTGGGGAATAGGACAAAGCCCCTTCCTTCCACCTGCCTTTTCCTATGCCCCTAATATACTTCAGAAGAAGACTGGATTCGAATGTTTAAGCAGGTCTGTCTTTTGGATTGGTTGTTTAAAAAGACATTGTCCCCTTTACACACTACAGGAGTGGTTCCAATAGACATAGCATTCAAACAATACAGAAAGAGCTGGGAACCAAGTGTGAAGTGCTCTGTGTTTAAAGAAAATAAACACAGATGCATTTGTAAGGAAGTCCCAGATAGGGGGACTCACTTGTAGGATTTCATAAAGGTTGGAGATTAAACCAGAAGTAGGCCACTAAAGAGTCCACACAGATGATGAAGAATTTACACAATTTCACAGTGGGCCAAACGAATGAGGTAGAAATATTCACTGCATATTATAAATTGGTTTGAGAACCATACTTTACATAAAAATATCAAAATCAAGCAGAACTGCTGCTGGATAAAACTTTAGATTTTATTTAGTATAATGCTTTAGGTGATAATAAATGCTGCCCCCAAAAACTTAGAGATACCACTCTTGGCTAAGTATATCTGTTAGAATTTTACTTAACTATAACAACCAGAAACTCTTACCTTAATGAATTAGAAAAAGTGGAAATAATTTTTCTTACATACAAGAGCATTGTAAGGGTAAATTACTGACCGTGGCTCAGGAACTGGATGCCGTCAGGACCAGGCTCCTGCAATTCTCTTGGTCTTTCTCTACTGTTAGAAAATGCCTCCAGCCACCACGTCTCTGGTCAAGATAGGAACAAGGGAAAAGGACTGTGCCAAACTTGTTTATCAGAGAAGCAGAAAGTCTTAAGGGAGATTGTTTTGGCAGATTTACTTAGAAAACAGAGACTTCTGGCAAGATTTTAAGTGTTATTGCTTTCTAGAGAACTACTATCCTCAGCTGCCAAGAGTGAGGTAAAAGAGGGAAGCAAATGAATGTGGTCCATTTCCCACCAGTCATTGCTCCTCTGCCCGTGGCGCTAAGAAACACAACTGTCGTGTGGCAGGTCCACCTTTGGGCCACATGAGATGTTGCTAGATAAGCCATGTGGACGAACCATGCCTAGGAGTGGTCCGACAGATGGACTCACAGAAAGAGAATTTACCTCCTGGTTCTGTGTCAGCGTCTATCCCACTGTTTTAAGTTCTTCCCCTAGAAATTAATTTTCTTATATTTAAGGGCTGTATTATCCGGGCCCTTTAGCAGTAGGAGGGAGCTCAATTTCCATGTGGCACCTCCTCGGAGTTTGGGAATAATAAATAGAGGACTCAGAGACTCTGGACATTGGATTCAGATGGCAGAACCACACACAGCACGGGGCTCAGCACAGAAACACTTGAAATGGAGTAAGTGTCTAAGTGTGCAGGGGCAAGTGTGTCTAAGCGAGATGAGTAGAATGTGAGGAACCATTCAAGATGTATCTGATGCAACACATGAGCTGATGTCAGACCTGTGTCACGTGGCCACACTCAGCTGAACGGGAGGAGGAAATACCTTGGAACTAAACACGTGGTTGACCCTTCAGAAATCTGAGTTTGGTTGGCAAAGATGGTGGAGGAATTGAAACTTTGTGAGTAACAGTAGATCCAGAGAGTGATTTTATTACATACAACAGTTCTCAGCTTTCCTAAATTAAGAGAAAAAAATTTGTTGCAAGGATATTAGTGGTTTTCAGGGAAAATTAAAGGAAAAGTGGAACAGTCAAGTTCTTTCTTATTTGGAAAAAAATTGAGAACTATAGAATCCCAGGTAGCCAGAACCACACCAAAGCCATGCCACATTCAAGGCACTGCTGGGGTGCTTTGGTTGCTGGAGGCGGGATGTTGACCCTGATCCTGCTGCCATTGGACAGTGGAGGCTGCCATCTTTATCAATGAAGTTCACGAATTGCTTATTGGCAGGTGGTTCTTCAGATTTAAATTCCTAGGCAAAAACATATAATTAGTTTACCCAGGTGCTCAGCCCTCACAGGAAGGATGTTAGGGAAAATTATCTGGCCCTTTCGGTTTTCATTCAGGTGGACAAAAGATCCCACCAAGAACCACAATTGCTAATTCTCTACATTTATTAAGAGATTCAAATGTTGGAAAGCTAAAAGAAATTGGAAAATTACTATCCCCTGGTTCACTACTACATTGACTAACATAGCCCAAACTCATATTCTTCCCCTCCAAAATGTTCTGAGGAAATACAGCGTGACTATCTTTCTAACAACCAAAAACATACTGAGTCTGTTCTTATATTGAAGCATGCACAGTCTCCCAGTTACTGAATTCATCTGCAGGTGCAGGGTCCTGGGTGAGGAATGGACCTTGTCCGGGTTTGACAAGATACTGTCTTAACAGTCTATGACAAATGGGCTCTCCACTGAGTTTACTTGCCACCCACACGCCTTATGGATGAGCCGCCTCTCTTGAGTCTCTTCATATCCCCCAAATTTCACTGTCCCAGGCATGGTCGACCATTTGTTTGTCTTGACTGCTGCCACTCTTGGTGGGAAACCGGGAAGGTCACTGCTGCTCCTCATGGGTGTAACCACGGGAGGGAGGATTCACTGTCTGACATGTAGACCTACGAGGCTCCTAAAAAGCGATGAATGCCTTGGACTATTGGTCAGAGGCATAAAAGGAATAAAAATAGAAAACCAGGGTCAAATAAAGAGCATGTGTAGGCCTTTGAGAGTGGTCCTAAAGCAAATTGATGTTTCTGTCCAGTGTCAGAACCTTCAAGAATCATCTGCTGCCAAAGACCTCTCAGTCTTGCAGTTATCTTAATTCTCTTTTTCTCATGTCACACTTCCAATCCATTTGGAAATCTTAATGTGTCTACCTTCAAACTGTATTTCGAGCCCACTCACATCTCAGTGCCACTCTCCTGGCCCATGGAAACACAGTCTCTCCTGTAGGCTATTGAAACAGCCTCCCAAATGGTTTCAGAGATTCCAAATTTGCTTGTTCTTATCATTTTATTCTTTAATGAATAGACCGAGCATTATTATAAAATCCAAGTCAGATCTTGCATTCCACTGTTCAGAATCCTCTGGTGGTTTCCTGTTTCTTTCAAAGTAAAAGACATGTTTTGAAGTCCCATTAAGCTGTTGTACATCTGTTTCCACCAGTTTTAACATGTGATATCTTACTATATTTTACTTTATGTGATAGTATAAACAAAATTTTTTATAGGCAAAGAGATAATATAGAAACTGTCGTTCATTTTCTGTTAACTGGTTCTAAATACCCTTTAACTTCTTCATTCTCTTGAATAGCTGCAGACTGTCTTGATATGCTTGATGCTATAGTATATGAAGTTATACTCAAATAATACAAGGAAGGAGGCACTATGGTGACTACTATTACGTTAGATTATCTGGGGGTGAAACACAATGATGCTTAAATTGTTTGGTTCTGACCTGCGTTGTTCTAATACAATGTCCTCTTTTATCTTAATCTCTACACTTTTTAAAATTAATCTATTTTTCTCTTACATTTTTTTTCAATTAAGGGAAAACTAAATTAAAAAATAGTGGGATATATTATAGTAACTTTTTGTTTTCCTATTAACCTGATATGAACCCCAGTATTGCTCTCCCCATCTTGTTCTGTCAGATTTTACTATATTCTATTTTGTTTGATAGTATCAAGTTTGAGGGTATAGGCAACCACTTTGAAGGCAATAAGATTCCCATTATGGTTTGACTATTATCTTCTTTTGAAATCCTGTAAGGTCTCCAGTGTAGGTTTTATTGGTCTTGTTCTGCACTGTTTGGATCAATTCTATTATACCTGATGATATAGGCAACTCTTTTTAAAAATAGCAAGAGACACAATGGTACCCATTTTTGATCACCTGATATTCTATTTTTGCATCATGTACTATGCCCATTCTTCTGTTCTAACCAACTCTGTTTTGTTTAGTCACGTTAGGTTTTATTCTTTTCAAAAAAAGTAATAAGAACTGTGGGAGTAAAAAAAAAAAAAAACCCCCAAATGTAATTGTTATTAAAAAGAGAAGAAAGGAAGGTGGTCTAAGTGATATAACTATATGTATGTTTGAGTGTGTAGGATAGAAATCCATATTACTGAGCTTTTGTTGGATCATTGAACGGCACTGTCTGCAATCTCATTGTATGAATGTACACTTTATATGCTTTAATTTTATAATTTGGACAACTGTTTCTAAGATGACAATATGTAACCTATTAACTAATGATATCTTACTGTATTTTTTTCTTGAAATTCTGTATTATTTGTACCCTTTTACTGCTTTGTTTTTTTTTTTATTTCCTTTCTTTTTTCTCTCTTTAAATTAAAAAAACAAAAAAACAAAGTAAAAGACAACAGTCGCCCAAAGATTGGGCTTCCTGTGTCTGTCTGCCTCACACACTGGACTCCCTCTACTCCAGCTTTAACTGTTTTGCTGCTCCTCCAACATGCCAGCTGCCTTTCCACGCCAGGATCCCTAAGGTGCTCTTTCTTCTGCTTTACTTCCAAATATGTCCTTATAGCCAAATGTTACCTTTGCAGAGGAGGGCTTGAACTTACTTTTGAAAATTTCAGTCACTGCCAATACACCACCACTCCAGATGCTTTCCTCCATCTTTTCCAGAGTTACCAATAATTTTTAATATGATTTACTTATTTGTAGTGTTTTTGTCCATCTCCCAATATGTTCTCCCATCAGAGGAGGGACTCCTTGTGTTTTGGCATTCCGGGATCCTTGGCATTTAGTTCCCAGTATGGAGTAGAAGTTCAAAAATATTCGTGGAATGGGTGAGTGTACTTGAATGCGGCTGTAAGCTCTGGTATTCCATTTCTTGTTCATGCTAGCATATTGCAAGGACCACAGAGAAGTTATCAGAGAGCACAGCCAGGGTTGGGGAAGGTGTGGCCTGATGGAGATATTTCTATACTTTATTTGAAACTTAATGAAATGTATCTATAGAATCAGGACAGCAGACAGTGAGCGAGGAAACAGAGACCTTTGGGAGACACACCAAGCTCACATTACAGATTCGTAGCAGAATGCAACACACTTTCCCTAAACACAGCAAAGATCCACTTCCTTTTGTTAAAAGAAGATAAAAACAAAAATGATTTTTAAAATGCACAGAGGCCTGACATGTGGGCGTACATTGTAAAATTCCTCTAATGCATAATATTCTTGACTGTCTAGTTTCAGAGCTTATTCATTTCTGTCATTCGAGTGTTATGCACCATCAGGATGGCTGTGGCAGCTAAGAAAACACAGAAAACACATAGCACGGAAAAAGACTCAGTCACAACAAAGGCTGCCTTTCCTTATCAGCATGAACCCAAGAAACCAGTGAGTGCCCCCAAATATACATCGATGAGGATGCGGTGAGTCACCGTATGACTCACAGCTCACAGACCACTGCAGCACAGAAACATGAGGAATAATTTACTGCCTAGGCCAAAAGGACTTGAAAGAACTTTCCCACCCACCACATGAGTGATATATCAAATTAGGGATAAGGCGCCATCGCTTTCTTCTTTTTGGAGTGGATTAGCTCTCCCTCTTCGTGAGGCTCCCCCAGAGACGCAAGGCTAGATAAGCCTCCGGTTTTCCTAATAATCTTCGCCCAGTAAACGGTTCTATTCCTGTACCTGCCGACTTGGGCTTGTTCTGCAAACAAATCTAGTCTGCAAGAGTGCCTCAGCCCACAAAAATGTACTTCATCACCGCTCACAGCAAGATGGCTTCTTGGATCAATGTTTTATTCC